ACACCAAGACGAAACTGGTGATAGGCGCGCCCTCGTGGGAGGGCCGAGTCTTGATCAGCCGCGCCCTGGACGCCGAGGGCCAAGCGGTCCAAAACAGAGGCGCGGCCCCAGCGGGCTGGCTGGAGGAGGAGGTCGGCCACTGGCTGGAGACGCTCGAGCAGTGAATCCTGGAAACGGGGCGGCCCCGTCTCGTTTCCAGAACGAGCCTGCTAGGCAATGCAATGCAGTGACTAGCAGAGATGATACCGTCCAGCGCCGTGTTAATTTTGTCCGAGGCGAAGGCCTCCCTGCCAGTAGCAGCACGGTCACTGTTACGTATCCTCCCTCCTCCGTTGAGCCTCAACCTCATCCTCATGCCGTGCCAGCGCATGCAGAGGAGCTCTGCGAGGTGGAGGCCCCGCCAGAATTCGACACAATCGCCGAAGATGAAGCAGCCGAATATCTTTTCAGCTAGCACCAGTTGGCGTTGCTTGGCACGCGCTGCGGACGAGGCCCCTCTGCCAGCAGTCTGCGCAGCACCCTGGCAGCCTGGCCCACGCGGGGCACTTCGAGACATTTGGCTCTCTGCGACGGATCTCCAAGTTCAGATTCACTGTGCGCCAGTTACTTTATCGGATGTTGGTCCTGACGTCGAGGAAAAATCATCATCATCATCAGCATCATCATCATCGTCGTCATTATCATTACCACCATTACCATCAGTATCATTAGCAGCATCATCATCGTTATCATGGTCATCATCGTCGCGTCTTATCATCGTCCGCATCCTTCTTCTCCCCTCTTCCTGATCCCGCGGCCTCCTGCTTCCGACCACGAAGCCTGGACCGCCCCTATGGCGGTCCGTGTCCCGCGGGCATCTGCTGCGATCGGAACGGCGACGATCCCCACTTCGGAACATCGTGACTCAATGACTTCTCTGGAGATCCACGAGGCTATCTGCCCTGGGCCGCCCATTCCCACCCTAACCTCCTAGCAAGGTCGCCCTGCTCAGGGCCTCTCCGCGCCTGGCTGCCCCGCGCTTTCGCTGGGTGGGCAAAGCTCCCTCCCCAAGCTTTCTTTCCTGGGGAGGCGCCCGGCCACCCTTGCCCTGATCATTGGACACCCGCGTTTTCTGGTCGCCACCGACGAGGCCGGCCACTACCGACTTCGCTTCAGATTCTGCTGCCGGTCTCGGCCAATCTACCTCAACGAGTCGGTCGCGACCGACCTGTCGCGACCGATCACTTGCGACGGGTCGCGCCCGAAAAGGTCTGGTATCCAACGAACAGAGTGGGAGGGTTTCCGCCCTCGATGGGCGCCCTGTGCTGGGGATTCTTCAACGAGGGGGCCCGCCTCCCAGCCAAGATACGTAAAGACAGCCTTGGGTTCAGAATGGGCCGTGGTTTTCGGCCCGTATCTCAGACTCGCCATGGGGGGAACGGGCCCCGAGGGAAGCGAGTCATGAGTCCTGAGGGTGTTCGCCGTTTAGGCTTACCCGGGACGGTCCGAAAACGGTTCAGGATGAAGAATTGGTTCTGGGGGAAGGCCCCAGGGTCCAGGTTCCGCTTCCGTCAGGACCCGTTCCCCCCCAGGCTAACAGACCTAAGTCGGGGAACCTATTCTTGGCCGAGGCCCGCCGTAGACAGAAAAGCACACGTGTTCCTGATTCGGATTTTCCCCTGGTAGCACGATGGCTGCGAGACCTTCTTCTGCATGGCGCGAGCAGTGGGGACCTGCAGTGGGGGAGGGTACCTGGCGCGTTCGGGATAGGCCCTCTCATTCGGCGCATGCCCGCCCTCGGTGGACGCTGGCGAAAGAAAACTGCAGAGGGTCTGGCGGAATCCTGCGGAAGTGAAAATCGTCCCCTCGAGAGGTGCACGTTTGGGAGGGCCCCGGCTTCCTTTTAGGTTCAGGGCTTTCTGAACGGGCAATTTAGCCTACGAGTCCCTTGGCACAGGCGCCCTCTGGGCAACTAATTACGTGTCAGTGTGGCATGTCACCATGGCTGCAACCTTCGCTGCTGTCTACAGTCCCACTTCGCAAGAGGCCTTCCGAAGCCTTCTCCGAGGGCGCTTCCAAGCAGTCCCCCGGCCTTCTGTGAGATTCGACATTGCAAAAAGTTGCAACATCGAAAGCAATCACGACCGGACCTCCGGATCCCATCTTGCATGCGTCATGCTTCGAACCAGATGAAAATGTGAGGGTCCCGGGGCCCGACATGGAGCGCAAATGCCCAGATCGACAAAAGTAAGTCGCCAGGATCTCGGGGCCCTGCCTTTTTCGACGGCCGTCTCTCTCGCCCCACCCCCGCCGACGCGTGGCGCGCCCCCCGTCGAAGGCGGGGCTCGCTTCCTGGTGCCTCCGACGACCTGATCTGCTTCTCGAGTCGCCGGCCCCCAGGGGCACGCTTTTCGTCCTGGGTGTCCTCTTTCGTCCTCCTCCCCCTCGCTCCTCCTCCTCCTCCTCCTCCTCCTCCTGATCCTGATCCTGATCCTCCTCCTCCTCTTCGCTCCTCCTCCTGGCTCCTCGTCCTCGCTCCTCCTCCTCGTCCTCCTTCTCCTGATCCGGATCCTCCTCGTGATCCTCCTCCTCCTCCTCCTCCTCCTCGATCCTCCTCCTTCTCGCTCCTCCTCCTCCTCCTCCTTCTCGCTCCTCCTCTTCGCTCCTCCTCCTCTCCCCCTTCTCCCCTCCTCATCCTCTCCCTCCTCCTCTCTCCTCCTCTCCTCCTCTCCTCCTCCTCCTCCTCCTCCTCCTCCTCCTCTCCCTGATGCTGATCCTCCTCGTGATCCTCCTCCTCCTCGCTCCTGCTCGCTCCTCCTCCTCTTCCTCCTCCTCCTCGCTTTTCCTCCTCCTCCTCCTCCTCCTCGCCAGGATCTCAGGGTGCGGCCGTGCACAGCCCGTCGGAGTGCGCAGCCCGTCGACCCGCGACCTCCCTCGACCTGCGGCGCCCGCAGCTGCGGCGCGCGCTGCGGCGCCGCCGAGACGGCGGCCGCTCCCGCCGTGGCGCGCCGCGCGCCCCGACGTGCTCGCGCGTCGTACCCTGCGAGCCGGGCGACGCAATTCTTTGAGCCAGGCGTTTTCACTCCAGTTCCTGCTCCTCTTTATTCCTCCTCCTCCTCCTCCTGCTCCTCCTCCTCCTCCTCCTGCTCCTCCTTCTTCTTCAATCTTTCCTTATACATATTTGTTTCCCCGTCGCACCCCGAGGCCAGTTTTTAGGCCTGGCCGGGCGTTTCGCCTGAGACTTCCTCACGACTTCTGATTCTGAAGCTTCCACAAATCGCAACAGTTTCACATATGCAGGGCGGGTCGTTTTCAAAATGTGGCTCTCGCCTTAGCGCGGCGCACATTCGCTTTGAAAGTTTGCAAGAGCTTCACGGATTGAGGGCAGGTAGTTTTCAAAATGTAGTTTTCGTCGTAGCGACGTGCACATGCCTTTCAGAAGTTGTAAGAATTTCACGGATTGAGGGCGGGTCGTTTTCAACATGTGGTTCTCGCCTTAGCGCTGCGCACATTCGTTTTCAAGATTTGCAGGAGCTTCACGGATTGAGGGCGGGTGGTTTTCAACATGTGTCTCTCGCTTTAGTGCCGCGCACATTCGTTTGTAAAAGCTTGCAAGAGTTTCACGGGCTGAGGGCGGTTCCTTTTCAAGCTGTGGTTCTCGCGCTAGCGGGTCACACTCGTTTGAAACATGCTGCAAGAGTTTCACGGATTCCCATCATCAGCGTTTGAGACATGGTTGCTTTGAACGGCATCAGGATTATGTGCGTTCAGCAGTTCTGTTGGTTCGCTGTGTTGAATTCCCAGGAGTGGCGTTCTGGCGCGATTCAAGATTGTCAAGACGCCACAGTCAGGTTGATCCGTGGCGTTGGAATCCCGAGAACAATGTTTTGGCATGCTTCAGGGTCTTCAAGCGGGTGTCTTCCAACGAGGCAGTTCCCTCAATGGAAATGAACCGTTGTCGGGACCTATGAAGAGGGAGCTTGGAGGGAGGGGTTACTCCAGCATCGTTGATGACTCTTGTGTTTACACTAGCGTTTCAGCCTCCTCCTCCTCCCCCTCCTCCTCCTCCTCCTCCTCCTCCTCCTTCCCCTCCCTCCCTCTCCTCCGTCGGGCCGAGAGCCTGAAAACTGTGAAACGGGCCCAGAGGTTTTCCCGTAAACACGCTAACGGCGATGTAGTTAGCCTTGTGCTTCGAGCTTGGCGTTTTTGCTCCATTTCGGGCCCCGGGGCCCTCACAGGTGGGGGTCCCGGGGTCCGGTCGTGACTTATCGCGATGTTGCAATTTTTGTGCGACGTCGGATCTCAGGGACGCAAATCATGACGAGCAGTGTTCACCCGCGGCCTCCCATGGGACCCTCAAAACACGACTCGAGAGGGGAACCAACCCTGCGGCGCACTTCGGCGCATCCCTGCGCTGCGGCACACTGCGGCGCCGCAGGGACAACCGACCCCTCCGCGGCGCGCCGCGCACCCCAGGCATCCGGCCGCTGGCCATTGCCCCAGGGCCGGTTTTCCGTTCTGCGGCGCTCTGTTGACAGTCCCGAGGCCCAGCGAGGGCTCCCGGAGGCCGAAAACGGCCACGAGCATTCCGCTCCAACTTCTTCGGAGCGTCGGATCTCCGGGACCGTGCGGGCCTCCCCCCGCGGGCGAGGAGCGTTCATCGCTCTCGGAGCGTTCCGGAGCGCTCTGGGAAGGCCGCGGCGCCCGAGACATCCTCCAGAGCCGCCGGGTCGCAGAGATGATGGGCCAGTTTTCCACCACCACTACCATGGGTAGGAGCGGGAGGAGGAGGAAGAGGAGGAGGAAGAGGAGGAGGAAGCGGAGGAGGAGGAGGAGGCGGAAGAGGAAGAGGAGGAGGCGGAGGCGGAGGAGGAGGAGGACCTCCCCATCCCTTCTCCCCAGTCCTGCCTATGTTTTTTTTTGTGGTGGCGGAAAATATTGGCCCATCAAGAAGTTATCGACGTCTCCTCGCCCGAGTTTGTCCTCGTCCTGGCCTCGTCTTGTCCCCCGCCCGCGGCGAGGACCAGCGGCCCCGCGGGGTCCGACCTGCGCCCAGGGAGCCGCCAGTCGCAGGCGAGGCCCGCGTCGTCGCCCTCGGCGGCCACGGCGGAGGACCCGCGGGCTCGGGCCCGGCTGGCGGCCGCCGCTCCCCAGACAGCTGACGGCGCGTCAATCGAAGAATCGGAGGTGGACAGACCTCCTGCCCCGACACGTCGATTAGTGAATTGGCCGTTCTCGGTTCGCGAGAGGGCGTCGCGGCCGTCATTTTTGCGGGTCCAGGTCCGTCGGTCTCGGTCCCAGGCCGTTTTCCCTAAGGGGAGGTTTATTAAAGGGAGGTTTGTCCACCGCCGAAATAAGAGAAAACGACATGAACGTAAACTTTTGGCGCTCCGCGCGGATTTCTTGGATCTGCGCTGGGCCCCCCCGGCGGCGCCTCCGGCGCCGCCCCTGGCGCGCTCCGCGCGCAAGGGAGGGGGTCTCCAAGAAATCGGGGCGGAGCGCCAAAAGTTTACGTTTATGCAGTTGTTCTCTTCCTCTAGAAATCATCGATGATCAGAAGAACCCCTAAGCCTAATAACACGATGAAGACGTAGCCTCACTGAGGTCCCCGTCTTCGCATCAGGGATAGTAGATCTGGGCGGTTCGGCTCGATACATCTGCTGAAAGACCCCCTATTCCTAATGTTCCTGGCTCCCTAACTTAGGCCCCCTCCCAAAGGGTTAGGGGTCCTTTTTTGGCTGATCATTAACCCTGAGATCCTGGCGGCTCAATTTTTTCGAGCCTGGCGTTCTCGCTGAATTTCGGGTCCTGGGACCCTCACAGATCGAACAGGCTCCAGGAATGACGCATAAAGATTGGGTCCAGGGGTCCGGTCATGACTTTTCCCGATGTTGTTTTTTTGCAACGTCGGATCTCAGGGAAGGGTGACCTTTCGCCGGAGTGACCTCTGGTGCGGGCACACTGGGGCCCCCAGTTAGCTGAGTGCGCGAAGCGATAGCAGCGGCTTGCGCGCTCGGGTTTGGCCTCCCCGCCCTCCCCCCCCCGAAAGCCTCGCACCACAGGTCACCCTTGCCTGGGGTCACTCTTGCGTGTAATCGAGACATGCTCGCGTCGTGAAACATGGAGACGGGTTTTTCCTTCGCTTTGGGCCTTCAGGGGCCCTCGCCGGGCCCCAGGACCGTCAAAAACGACTCAGGGCGAACAGCCGGTCCGGGGGAAAGAGTCGGGCGGGAAACGCATTTCTTCAAAAACGGGACATCGCCTGCCTGAGTCTTATGTTGGATCGGATCTCGAGCGTAAAGAAGAGGAGCCTACGTACGCGTTTCGCCCCCCCCCCCCCGCCCCCCTCATATGTATATTATATAATATATATATATTGATATATATATATATATTCACTTCCTATATTTTTATAAGCCCGGGCGGGGGGGAAATCCCCCCCACAAAAAAAAACGGACTCCCAGGATCTGGGGCTTTGGGACCCTCCAGACGGGCCTCGAAGCGGCCCCCCAGGCCTCGCAGGCCGTTTTGCCAAGCCTTCCCAGCACACCCAGAGCGATCAGGGGGGCCCATCGGAGACGTCCCAGAGGCCCCCAGGACAGCACAAGAGCGCTCCAAGAGTGACCGACGTGATCTCAAGATGGCCCAAGAGGCCTCCAGGACGGCCCCAAAGAGGCCCTCCAAGAGCACTCCCAAGAAGGCCCCCAGAGGCAAAAATCAATGATTTCTTTGGGTTTTTGGTGAATTTTTGGGTTCTCCTCTTTTCGGCTTCCCGATGCTCCAAGACGGCGGTCTTCTGGGCGTCCGAAGCCGCCTGGGAGGCTCCAAAATCGCCCCACCACCATCCGAAAGGGTTTCCAGGCAGTCCAAGAGAGCCCCGAAACGGCACAACACGGGTCCAAGATGGCCCTCAGAGAGCCCCATGGCGGCCCAAGATGGCCCCAAGACACCCTCCGAAGCATTCCAAATCGTGACCCAGTCGTTCAGGGAGATCGCGGTTGGAGGCAGGGTGGCCCGAGGAAGCCCACAGAATACGCCCAGGAGGCCTCCAGAAGGCCTTAAGAAAGCCTGAAACAACTTTTGTGAGGCCCCCAGAGGCTCTCCAAGGAGGAGCCTCCGCAAAAAAGAGTTGAGGAGGATGGGGAGAATGCGCAGGGTATGGCGAAAATGAGGAAAAGGAAGCATGGAGGAAGGACAACGAAAAACATGATCATAGCGGCGATGCCAGAACAGGCAACAAGGAGTTATCGCTAAATTGTCGGCTTGACCTTCCTGCTATTCCGCCTGCATGCCAAGCGTCAAGGACCAAGGTGCATGGCGCGAAGCGCCACTGCAGTCTTGTGTATATATGTGCTTTTCGGGCCGACTTGCCTGCGGTGCGGCATCGAGCGAGCATCGTCGGCGATGGGACCGGAGGCGAAGCGGAGAGGTGCAGTGTGCAGTGGCTGGTCGCCTCTCGAGATCACCGCTCGAGGCCCCAGCTTTCTCCCTGAGAGGCCTGGAGCTTGACACCACCACCAAGACGGGGGGGCGCCCCCAAGCCAGCCAAGATGGCACGAAGGCGGTCCAAGATGGCCCAAGACCTTAGCTGCCATGGTATTGTAATTATCCGAGGAAGCGCGAACGGGCTCGATGTTAAGAGTCAAAGTCTGGAAAAGTTCGAGGCCAATGCTTTCACAAAGTTCAAGTTCAACTTTGTTATAATCTTGGAAATCGGAAGAAGTTTGGATAAAGTTCGACGGCGAAGAAGTTCCGAATATCCGAAGCCCGTGTGAACGTTTCGTGAACTTCCGAATTGGTTTCGATCTGTCTCCGAACTTTCCCGAACTTCCCTAACTTTCCAATTTTTGCAATTTGGTTCGAACGTGCTTCGAACTGTTCCAAACTAGTTCGTAGTCCTGTTGGAACGTTTGAACATGTTTCGAACTATCCCTGGACATTTGAACATATTTTAAGCTCTTGCGTCCTTTGGTTTACGAACACGAGCTTCTAGTTGTCCCTCCGCCCGAACGAAAGCCATAAGTTTTTGTTGTTCACTGGAATGATCGCTGTTGCCCCCTTGAGCCAATGACATCCCTGGTGCGCCCGTGTTAAAACGCAGCACGTGTCGTGCTCAGAACGTCCGTGTGAACACACGCGAGAGACGCATGTAGTGCGAGACGCATGTGCTCACAGCCTGCCTTCGGTGGAGCCCCGGATGGAGCCATACGGTGGGGGCGTTGGCTCAGGAGTGTGCCCGGGAGGTTTCAGAAAAGACCCTCGGGGGGTCCTCCGACGAAGGCGAAGGGGGCAGCGATGTCCATGGCCGGTCCTCGATTGGAGTCCCAACGGCTTCCAGACCCTGGATCCCTTATCAAAGGCTTCCTCATCCAGCCCCTTCCCCGTATGGATACGAGTCTTGCCCGCATAGGAGGACGACGAGCTGGACGCCAACGGCCTGTGCCGGGGCATCCGCGGCGGCCTGCGCGCAGAGGCCCCCCGCGCGCACGTGCCCCCCCGCCCGGGGGTGCGTGCACGGAGGGGGGGGGCGCCCAGGGCTGGCACCGCCTCTGCCGCCTCCCCGCCTCCGCGGGCCTGTCGTGTCAAGGGGAGGGGCGACTCCCAGACATGGTCGCGTCGTGACAGAGTCTTGACAGGGCCGTTTCGCCGTTTTGGGCCTCCAGGCACCCTGCCGGGCCCCGCGACCGTCAAAAACGGTTCAGGATGGAAGACCGGGCCCGGGGAGAGGGTCGGCTTCCGGGGACCGCGTGGATCGAAGCATTCAGGACATCGCACGTCTAAGCTCACTGATTCACGTCACAGCCCTTTGGCCGGAAGGCCTCTCTCGCCTCCAGAAGGTGGAGATGTTGTGGCGCCCTGGGCCACTTGAGTTAAAAGGCGTTCGCCCTCTCGATCCCATGTCAGTCCCTGGTGATCTTGACCGGCAGCTCTGAGGCGTACCGTGGCCTGGCTGCTCCAGGCCCGGGCGTCCTTCCCCCCCAAGATCGGGGGCGTCCCAAGAAGTGCCCGAGCAGACAGCGTAGGTGGATCGCGCCGCATCGCCGATGCTTCGGCGATGCGGCTCGACGTGAAGCCCGATGTTCTCCACTTCGTGCGGCTCGACGTGAAGCCCGATGTTCTCCACTTCGTCGGCGCCGATGCATCGCTGATGCATCGCCGACGCGTCGCCAATGCATCGCGGGAGTGGCCTTTGGTGCGGGGTCTCCCCGATCTCGGAGCACAGTGCGATATCATTAAGTCGGGCATGTCCCTCCACAGTGAGGAATATCCAAGAATATATGAAAGTAGTCCAGGGACGATTTTCTGGCTCTTTTGATGATTATTGT